CTTGCTCCACTTTTAAGTCAACCCCAAAGTGGAGTGGGATTTCTGAAACGTGGCATCATCTCGTTCCAGCGGTTTCGATCATATGGAATTGAAAACTATACGTCGGCCGACCAGAAGTCACCTGGTTTGTAATGTCGCTTTGCCAGTTTTCAGTTAGCCACGAACCACGAAAGTTAGTGTAGCGGTGGATCAGGAACACCACATTAGTTAGTGTATCCGTCCACGTCAACAAGAAAGCGGAGTCTTTTCGTGCGGCATTACCGAGCTGCAAGTTATGCTTTTCTGTTTGAAATATTGGACGGCTTGAGATATTCCGGACCCATGTACATGCTAAACTGCAGCGTCAATCCGATTCTACTCACGGAGTTTCGCTCTTCGCCGATGGTGATTAGGGATCTTTGTTAAAAGTATGTGTAGTGAGCAGTCATCCAACCATACGTTCGGAGAGAACCAACGTCCTTCATTTTATAACGTCCAGTCAATTGAAACTATTCTGATCAGATGAATACGCCTGAATGCTGTGAAGCGACACTAAACAAAGTCGCCATAAGGGCAAGTTGAATCTTGGCAGAGGCCTTCGGAAAATGTAGACTGAACCGATGACATTAGGCTTCTGCAGATGAACTCAGGCGAATTCTAGCTGTATTTTTCTTGGAGTGACTTGAACTGCTAACTTGCTTGGGTGACGAGATATGGGGTTCGTTTCATAATTTAATTTGGTTGACTAACTCAAAAGGAATGGGAGCAATCGTAATCGTAACTCTGAATTTAACCTTAGCCTACATCAATTCCATGAGTCAATATAAACTGAATATGACTGTATTCAGCAGTGCGTTATATCTACCGCCTACTTAACTTATATAAGCAGTGAGAAAATGAAGAAGAAGCAGATGCGAACACTGGAACAAGAGTTTTATTAGCCTGACGTTTCGGATTCCCTCGGGAATCCTTAATCATAGGTGATGATAACACAGCCATGGTCATGCGCAGATGGGGTTGAGACATGCACAGGTTGCACGTTGTTTATAGTTCATAGTGGTCATCCGCGTGTGTGTGTGATAATTATTCACTTCTGTAGCCACCGCTTGGGTCTTTATTGATGCGTTACTGACTTCACACTTCGCGTTTGACTCACTCATTGCCAAAATTGCCTTGTCAGCTTCGGACGCAGGCCTGATAGTTGGGTGACAATTATGCCCTTTGTCGCCCGGGAAAATGTCCGATTAATTTACGGAGGTAACAAAAATGCACTTAATTGTACCCACCACACATCCATTTGACTTCAAACAGCTAGGTTAAAGGTTAAACCCACCTCATTATCGGGACGCTGAAGATCCTGTATTAAGCTTTCATACTGCGCGAGCGATTTGAGGACTTCTTCATTGGTTTGCATGAGGCTAGCAAGAATCTCTTCATCCTCTTTATTGACGGTGTGGGAAAAATCGCCGAAAATTGTGCTGCAATCTTCAATCACGA